GCCCCCATTTACACCCATACAGGAAGCGATTGAAGCTTCCGGAAGTGACGTCATGAGATCTGAACTCTGATTCTGGGAAATGTGGTTCTGCAAAAAATAAAAATAATAATAATAATAATAAAATGAATTAAATAAATAAGGAAACGTGGTTATGCAAAAAAGCACAACATTTTAGTCCTTATTTACTTTAAAGATATGATTTAGCATTAATATTGTGCTTTTCTTTGTGTACGTAAATCCATGTTTATTTTTATTGTAAATGTCTCATTAGAGAAACGACCATGTTTTTTTCCTGATCATATATGTATTATATGTTCTGCAATAAAAAAAGGAAATGTAGTTTTGTACTGTGTTCTGCTGCATATTAATGTCTGTTATTCCATTAAAAAAAATTTACTGATGCTTTAGCCTATTGCATTTGATCTACAGAGGTGTAAAACCTGCAGAGAAATCATACTTTATTAAAAGGATACTATGTCAAAAATTAATTACAAAATATCTAGCCAAAAAATACATGCTCATTTACTTAGTACTTATAAAGCACATATTCTGCAAGACCACATCCCTACCCAATCCCTAAACTTAACAACTACCTTACTAGCTATTAATAAGCAGCAAATTAGGAGTTTATTGAGGCAAAAGTTGTAGTTAATGGTTAGTTAATTGCGAGAATTGGACCTTAAAATAAAGTGTGACCACACCACATTTTCATATCTACACAATCATATTCATATTTTGAAAATCCATGACTTTTGTCAGTGGAGCAAAAATGAGTCATTTGTAGCAGAATGTCTGTTCTTTTCGATACTATTGAGTGAATGGTGACAACAGTTGTCAAGTAAGATTTTTCTTGAATAATATTTTTAATGTCTCTGCACATTTTTCACACAAGATGTACTGATGCTATTTTGCATTGTATCTACAGGTGTAAAACATTTACAAATAAATTATACCTTGACTAAAATAGTCAAAAATTTAATTTTCTTTATGGCTTTGGAGAATGTTTTACATCTGTAGATGGGAAAATAATGTTAAGAACAATTTAGGCCTGGGCGATAAAACGGTATCGATATTTATCGACGGTACACCTTCAATATCGATAGAAAAAATTATCGATATAGTGATATAGGCACGTGCTATGAGTGACGCAGACAGCACACAAACACGAACACATGCTGAATTGAGTGCTGTGCCTGCCTGTGATGAGGAGATTGTGAATAAAAAATGAATATTAGTCGAATTTAAAATAAACATTTGCATTTGAATGTTAGGTGTGCATCAGGGAA